TGGGCATGCGCTGTTTGACCGATGAAAAGACTCCAGAAGAAGATTTGAATTTCACCACCGTCATCATCACCCACAACAACAAAAACAAGCACCAATCACCATCAAAAGGGGAAGTCTAAAGGAAGTATTCTATTTCACCTACCCACCTAACTAGGCAGCATCGTTTCAACTACAGGCGACGGTGGCACAGACGAGGATGTCAAAGTCAGCCAGGATCGGAAATAGAGCAGGACAGACCTTCATTAGTCTGAAATCAGTGTGGAGATATACTGCGCTACACTCAGCATAAAGCGTGAATAAGATCCGGATTTTCAACAATAATGTTAGTCAAGTCGGTGCCTCTATGCGATAGTTGAGAGACTTGGCGCGTTACGAAAAGTATTTCCAACAAACTACAGACATTCATCAACAGCTGCCACCTACGCTCACTCGATACTGAAGATAAGATGGCCAGAATAAGAAGAATAAGCAAGGAGGAAATCTGGCCTGACAACAAACCAACTAACTGAGAACCTATGGCCTGACAAATATGCAGAAGAAAGTGGAGGTGGATTGAACATACACTGAAAAGGCCGACTGGGGACATCACGCACCAGGCCATTGGATGGAATCCAAAGAGGAAGCGACCATTTGGGCATTTGAGGCAAAGGTGATACGGAGGAGGTCATGTGAGGAAGAAATGAAAGCTTGTGGGCATTGGTGGAGCCAGGTTTTGAAGACTGGGGAGAAGAGAGTTCAATGGAGGCGTGTGACTGAAGTCCTATGTTCCACTAGCAGCCTAAAGGAGAAATACCAATAATAATTTCTGGGTAACTTCTAGACAGTGATACGAAAAAGAAATAAAATTTTTATTCCGGTGTCAAAGTGACGACAGGAAATCAAGTTACAGTAGCTCTAAAATGTCCTCAAGTTATCACGACTTCCTTCACTGAGCATCTGATGAAACTCTTGACAGTACATAAGATGACATTGTATGAAATCGTTTGAAGCCAGTCTTCGAATATCATATAAAACAATAAACTATATCACTTATCAATGTAGTGAATAGTTTTCATTATCACCCATTAGGATCCATTGAACAGACGGGTTGAGGTAGCAAAATCTACTTGAATCTTGTAGCTGAACATGAATTTTAAAGGCTTTTCAGAAATCGCATACCCAGAATGCAAGTTCAAAACCATCAAAATTTTCTCAGCACAAGGGTGAATTGTATAGAAATAATATTACAATGTAAAATAATTTATGTTTGAACCCACCTGTGTATCCTAAAACCATTGATTGTGAGTGATTACACGGGATATTTTCAGGGAATTTAACTGCATAAAAGAAACACTAGATGTGTCTAGAACTCTGATACACTAAAATGGCTTAATGTGCATGTTCTCCATAGTAATCATCCAGCTACCCGTAACTACCACTACTTTCAAAGCTATTATATATCTTAGTCTTGTAAAAGTGTTCTACCCTATTTTGATGCTAAATGATTACCTGAATGGTAATAGTGAGCGGCTAACAAGTTTGCCATGAAACCTGAAGGTCGTAAGTTCGATCTCTAGCCTTGTCATGGATGCGTACTATTAAGGCGACCTGTAATAAACGAAACATCTTTTTAGTGCTTCTAGGTTTTCAATGGTTCTCCAACTGTTATCAGTCCGCGATGAATACTACTTCAAAACTGAAATAGGTGTTATATAGATGGGAACTAAGTTTTTAAAAATCAACTCTATGGGCATGTGTTTAACAAGAACGTAAAACGTTATTCTTTAAAATTACTACTTTCGAAGTTACTATTATTAGTGATAAAGAGATTTGAGTTTGTAATCAGACTTAGGCGAATCTGAAATTAGGCATTTCACTATCAAAGATAAAAAAGCATTCCTGGCACCTACAGATCAACAGTATACTTGGAAACAGCGTACCCGAATGATGTCCTTAGGCTTATTCAATAATCCGAGGAAATAAACAAGTTTCAATTTGGTTTGTTAGGCCTAATAATCTGTGCGATAAAGTATTTATTTCTTTGATCCATTGGAAAATGGTCAGATGAAATCAGTTTGTATATTACATTGTTCAAGATATGAAAATGAACGAATCAGTCATAGATATTATTTGCTTAAAATTCAGTGCAGTCAAACATTTCATAGTCTAGACGAATTTATGAGTAGCCTTCATGGTATAGTGAGAATAATTGGACTAACACTCACTTTTTATTGATTTTTGTAACTAACCTATGTAAAGACAGTTGGTTGTCAAGCTATAATGTTCAAATACCTAAATCAATTTATAGTTTTGTGAATAATACTATGCAAACTAGTTGAATGATAACTGAGACTGAAAATAGTGCAGAAGAAATTTTTATCACAGTGTTCATATTACCTTTGACTAACTTATACTTGAAGTGATACTTGAAAATCTTAGACATCATGACTCAGAATGGATCTTAAGAGGTACACATATAACCAGTTTTTCATCTACAATCATTATCCTTATGACAAAATTAGTTGAATTTTTATGTGCTATCCCCTGTATTTTCGTATAGATAAACACAGATATTTGATTTTCTACTTTGTAACTATTAGTCACTTTTGTAACCTACCGAATGCAAGAGGAATTTTCAGCGGTAATCTTTCTTGGTAAATTTCAGCAGTTTATGATGCAAAGAGCGGTATTTACGTCACTCATTTCTATAGACTTAAGGTAGTCAGGCTTTCGTTATTAACATTCCACTCATCTTTCGCTATTCACTGCAATAGGAATATGATTTCTCTGAATAATACTTCTTAAAGAAAGTTATTCTTCTCCTTAGATTGTTGTTAATTTTCAAGGTTCTATAGGAAGCCTTTGAATAGTTTCATTAAATAAGCATCTGTACCTATTAAATGACTATTCCAACTAGGTACTACTTCCGCGGTCATCTGACCATAAGTTGACTTCATTTCACTGGCTTTCTAGACAACTTTTCTGATACTCAAGATGTTCACTTTTGTGAAAAGATGTTGGTAACTGTATCCATAGCGTGTCATCAGTTATAACACGTACAACACACATGATCATAGCAACCTGTTGTACTTATGGATGACTGGGTTAGTCACTAAATGTAGGTATGCTTAATTACTTGGTGTTTTTATACGCCAAGTGCTTTGTCCAGAGTTGAAACATATATTAACCTATGCCAACCTGAATATATTTAGCATGACTTATAGTCTAATGCATAAACATGAACAAGATTCCTAGGTTCTAGCATCTTGGCGGGAATTTACTATTACAAGCAGTAACAAGAAAAAAAATCTGTATCCATCTCACAAGGAGTAACTGTCGTGACTCAATGGCTTAGTAAACAACGCTCTGGCTTTTAAGCGACTCGTCTCAGAGCTTAGATCTCAGTGGGAAGAGTATCACTCACTGGGAGGCAGATACACCCAACTGACGAGTCTGAAGTAGAACGAAAAGCGCATCCCGGGTTCTACAGACAATCACTATCCATCATTCCTATCAATCTGAAATTGTAAGGAATGTTCAGGGATCTAAGCAGCAGCTAAGGTGGTAAGCAAGACCAATCAGTTCAATCAAATTAGCCATCAGAAATTTAAGGCAATAACATTAGGAAAACTAACTTTATTCCTTTCCTTATCTATTCGTGAATTCCCGAGGATACTTGGTGTGAAGTGGTTTCTTTTATATATTTCATTTTTACTTCAGGTTCTTCATTTCATCATTTCGGTTTCTAGTTGCATTATTTAAACTTTGCACTAAACCTACCTAAACTGATTTCGGGTGAGTTGACCTTAAGTCTTAACATCGATTAGAATGTGTCGGTTTTCTGTCCATAGTATTACTCAGACAAATCGAGTCGAATTCTCATTGTTCCTCTTTTGACTCGTAAGTGAACTGGATCGCACTTACTAGGGATTTTCAGCGCTTACTTCCAAGAACTATGATCCTACCCAGGAGTTATGGTGAATATATATGTGGATGACACATTTACGGTGTTGAAATCAGAACATAGCCACAGTTTCGTCTAGTATACAAACTCGGTAGGAAATATAGTTCAGTTTACTTACCAGTTAAAAATTGAACAAAGTTAGATAACGAAGATGCTGAGTATTCCGGATACATGGAGGGATCTTACTATCATTGAAACTAAATGATGACAGGTAACAGAATATTTGTATGATTGCATTGACATAATACTGAGTAGTAAACTGTGCTCAAAACTGTATCCACTACTTGTTAGTGTCACAGTTATATGTCAAATAAACAAATCTAGTACCAACCAAACATCGTTACATTTGTTGGGTCTTGGCATACAGCTGTTAGAAAAGTGATTCACTGACGTGGAAACCACTAGTTAAGATGTGGGCGTCTTTAAAGGCCACCCTAGAGACGATCGAAATGACAGTTTATGTTTCTCCATTTCGCCTGGAAAGGCTGATTTTCATAAAATGTAGAAGTCCAATTGCTTATTTCACTTGTTGCTAGGGTGGTCATTAAAGTCACCGTAAAATGTTATGCCTGGTAAAACCTTTTCATCTAACTGCAGTCACAATGTATTTATTTTACATTACCATGGTAACATTGACAAGACAATCAATCAAATGCATACGCATTTTTGCCAAGCCTACTCAGACTTTATCTTTAAGTGCAATATTTGAAATTCAGAAACAAACATATCAAGTGGTAACGAATTTTTGACAGATACGTACATTGGGTTATTTATGAGATTAAAATTGAGTAACAGTTTATTTCAAGGGATTTCTCATAAGTAATGTATAGAAGTGTTATATTTATATATTTTCAAAAGAAATCTGATTATAAGAACGAGATCCTTACATCCTTAAGAAATTGGCCACTTGTATTATTGTATATCATTTATATTTTAGCTACAAAGCTGATTGGTCGAATGATTTCCGACCAATCAAATTGCGAGTGGGTTAGTGACTAAGTCAATCACTTTCCCACTACATCTCATTATTTATTTCCATAATAGTGTGGGTAATGTTGTTGACATTAGACATGTGCCAACAAATTGATATTTAATTCACTAAACTACAAACTTTGAGATTTACTTAAAATATCACTATAAATACTATAATTTTTAACAGTTTAATGATCAAAATTTCCGAAAAATACTGTTAAATTATTTGGATGAAACAAGCATGAATGATTTACTTGGTCAAGGATTAAGTCACATGTAGATATGAAAGTCATGCGGTTACTTATACAATGGATTAATGTTTACCTACTATTAGGCGTTCTTTGTGAAGCTGTCGAAGGTAAATTTCTAGTATTACTGTTCATGATTTGAAATCATAAATCTAATAAAATATTTTTATTTTTGCCAATATTGAATTGTATGTCTGAACTGGTCTGTATTTCTCCTGGTATATGTGTATATTGTGCGAAGGACTTTATTGTATACTTGTGACCAATTGTATTTCGTCTATCTAGTTGGCCTGATCTATGAAATGTCAGCTTCTGTTGATTTTCTCAGTGATACAGATAACTTCGAACGTCACGACAATAGTGACTTTCCATTAGAGATTGACAACAGATGAAGAAATTGTAAACATTGAACAGAAGTTTCATCTTCATCCGGGACTTCTCAACAATCAGCACTCACAACACCTTGATGAGTTAAGCCTAGAAGCATCAAGGTGTAAAACAGGCCTTCTTTACCCGAGGTTGGATTTTGTGAGTAACTAGCCTGTTCGGACTGATGCGACTCTCCATGCAAGTATAGTAATCAACACATATAGCCACTTCACTCCCTATCTCTAAACAGGGAGAAGTTCCAGGTCAATCTTTAAGCATCATCTAATATTTGACAGGTTCAAAACGCACGCTAAACGTGTTCAGTCTCATATACTTAAACAACTGGCCTATTCCTTAAAGCTAAAATGTACTACTTTTTAGATTCATCACCTTAAGCTTTGATTGATGACGGATCAAACATCATAACTAAATAAGGTGAGAAAATGAAGGAATGAGAAAAATAGTGAAAACTAAAGGTTACACATAACTTTGAAACTGTTCTGTTTTACTTGCAAAAACAAACATTTGGGAAAAGAAATTAAACGAGCAACAGAAGTTGTTGTACTGAAGCTACTATTGGGTATGCAGCAAAGCTTGAGGCAGTACGTGAAGATTTTGGAATCTAACAACGAGTGGATTGTACACAGTAGTTCTATTAATCAATATTGACATGGTTACATAAAATCATTCTCGAGCAGCAACTAGACATTGTTAAATATCCATAACTGACAAGAAGTTAACAAAGTTGTCTACTACCTAGTGAGACTGCATTATGTTCCAAGATACCTTTGGAAAATCTAAGCTTTGTAGCCAATGCACACTGCTCCATAGGAGTTAAAACTTAGACATTGGAGTGGTTAAAAGCAGTCCCCCATCTCTCAGTTATTCTTAGACCGATTGCTCACTGAAAAATGTTGTTATCACAGACATTAATAATCAGTTTCTCGACTGTCTCTGCTGCAATGATAAAATGAGGTAAAGTTCATTTCAGCAGCGTTTTGGCTGACTCAGTTAATTTCTTTTGCATCCACTGTTCATTCAGCGTACATAAAATATCTTTATTGGATGACAAGCACACTATGTCGCTAATCGACGGAAGTTGGATCTAAGTCCAGTGACTGAATGGTGACATGGTCGCTGCGAGATCTGACAGTCGTAAGTTCCATCCCTGGTAGAGTTGTGGGTGCACATTGTTGAGGAGTCTCATACTAAGACGAAACTGTTACCCAGTGTTCCCAGGATTTCTATGACTCCCCAACAGATGTTACCCCTTGAGGAATACTACAATGAAAGTTGCATCCTTTTGCCAAATTTTTTCTCTGTGATTTAATGCATGATGGTTGCTTTTATGTTCCGTTCAATGGCCAATACCACAAATTATTTCCATAAGCCATGAATTTGTGGATTATTTTCATTGGTTCTATCATTAAAAGTAACATTCTCACTTTAATTTCGATTGATTTCCAACATTCTTCCCGAGTGAAGTTAGTTCCAAAAAAGTGTTTGTCTTCATGCATTTATTTCTCTTCATGAATTAGAAATACACAAGAACCACCAAACTAGTGTAGAATAATGAAAGTATCATTGTATTTCGTTATCTTTGCTTCGGCTACATATTCACTGTCCAAAATAGATTACCAAAGTGGATTAACTGCAGCATACTTAGAAATCAAAACTGCATAGCTTAATCAATAAGACAGGTGGATATAAGCGGAAGTCTGGAATACAATAGACTCAAAGAAGTTTGCAATTTTTCTATTAGTATTAAAGTGGTTGTTAGGATTTAATCAGTCAAGCAGAATGATTACGTAAGAGGCTAGAGAGGAAATTAATTCATGAACGAAGAATACATTGAAAATCATAGCTCACCGAATTGTTTTCAAAGTTAAATTAGTAGGCGATAGGGGAGTAGAAGGGAATTATCATTGTTGGTCTTTGTTACCAAGGTAACTGTAGGTTAATCATAATTTGCTTGTAATCTCATCAAATTCTAACCGTCTTGTTTATTAAGTATTCGAAATTTATTTTCAGTACTCATTTCATGTATGGTGTTTGGTTCATGTTGTCCTACTGAACTATTCCAACGATTGAATAAAACAGTGTTAAACGTTTCCGTTTCCAAAAGTTGTACAAATTGTGGGAGTTTGAAGTTTACTTCCAGATATATATGTAAAAGGATTGCTTGCTAAATCCATTATTGTACCTGATAGCTATTTCATATTACTGTTTGATACTTGTAATCTCTCGTTGCAATGCTGGGTTGGATTGCTCGACCACTGTTGGCAGATGGGCTTTTATGCGCAGGCCTCAATACTGCCGGATTTCATCCGCATAGGAGCTCATTTATAAACAGAACTTGAGCAGTCCGACCCAGTATCGCAACGGGAGATTACAAGTATCAAACAACAAATGATTCATGTTGCACAAAGGGCGGCTGTCGTGCCTGAGTGGTCAGAACATCACTCACTGCGACGCAGGTATATCCAGCTCACGAGTCCTAAATACGATAAAACGCGCATTGTGGATTCAACTGCTAGCCACTGAACCGACAGCATTATTTAATATTACACCTTTTTTGATTCTAGTCATCTCACAGTCAGTTGTTGATGACTAGTTGTTATTCAGTCTGTTGATGTCACTCAATGACTTGTGTATTTCGTTTTTAAGCAAAGGATCCCAAGTTCAAATGCTACTCCAAATATTTTAGCGCAGGCAAACAGTTACTATTATAATCCTTGATAAAGCAATGCGTTGCTCATATCCTAGTACACAAATATGAAGTTTCTTTAAAGTATGGTCATTTTCTGCTTGGTTCCAAACGTTTAATATCAATGAATTGCACTACGATATCAAGTTACTCAGCTTAGTAAAAATGCGTTTTTGAATTTAGTGGCTTACCAGTATACAGCACAAGCTTCACGTTGTTTTATGATAGCTAACTACAAAATGTATGACCTGGAAAAAAACGTATAATTAAAGCTGTCTTTGAGGATGTACATCTGTATAACCACAGATCAAATTTGCCTTACTACCAGTCAACATAGATACATAGAAGATAAATATGATCCCTAAGTGTACCTTATCTGTCATTGTCAAGATGCCCGTATTCCTTTCGATGTCTTTAGGCATTGTATTTACCTGATGACTGGATACATTAATCGACCGAGAAAAACTAAAAAAATCAGTTGGCTTAAGTAGCAGACAGACAAAACCAACGTAGGACCTGGCTTAACTGTGCAACCGCCTAGTCTGCCACAACTCATGTCAGCGTATCATGCTAGGACTCATTAAGATAAGAGACCAAGACAATGTAGAAAGCAGTAAATATGATAGAAAGTCATGAAAGGGAGACAGAAGAACTAGAGAACACTGAAATCCATTTTACCGACTAAGTTGGTAATATGTGGAAACGTCCACATCACTGACATCGATTCTGAGTTACGTCACCTAGAGCCTGCAACCACTGGTTTCTGTTTTTACGAGGATCCCAACCCGAAAGTCTACATTTCCCTACACAGCTTAGAGAAACAGTCAAATGCTTCACGCACGGATACCATGTTTTAGTCTGGTTGTTCTGAACATTTTTCCAGCGTAAACCAACTTCAGCTAACGTTGAACGACAAGGTAAACAGTGACCAGGTACGCGTAAAATATGTCCCAGTTACCTGAATCAATGAAAATTCACAATCTCATTAACTGACTAATCACTTCTCCCGAAAACTCTACGCCTGACCACTAAGTTACTGACTTAGTGATACCACGATACATTGTTTTTGTTATTAAGACAGTGGTGGTGAAAACTTGAAGCCTAGTCATTTCCTCTATTCTTGATGACCATTTTTCCCATCCATATGGTTGTGCGGAGAACTATAACTCAGTACATCCAACTCTTGATAGACAATCAGATTTCATGATGGCACCATAAAGAATGTGAGTCGGTGAAGGACAAACGAACCTTTCGTATCCCTGCAGAGACTTCATTGACCACTGCCTCACCAGGACTGATCCCACTTCCCAACCAACCACTTCATTCCGTATTGTTAGCCTCATCACCGCTGAAGGCCAGTCTTGGACCAACAACTTGCATTTGAGTGTTGAGAAGCGCATCCCAGACATTTTCAAATGGCTTTTCAAGGTGTGAAGAAGGCTATATCCTGTCAGCGTCTTCACTCAACAGGATTTTGTCATTTGTATGTTCTAGACCTACAACGAACCTCCTGTGATTAGATTAATCTCTGTAAAGTCAGATGACAATAAGAAGACCTTAGTAAAAACATCTATGATAAAACTGAATAGGAATAGAGGGAGTGGACATATTTGACGGGCACCATTCAATATGCATAGCTAATTTGGCAACTCACTATAGGCTGTTACATGCCAGTTGGTGTTTCAGTATAGAACCTTCAACAGGGCGGTGTATTTACTTGAGATTCCTTTCAGTGAGAGATACTGTCATAAGACCTATTGACAGAACCAGGTGAATGACGCCTTTAGCTTGAGAAATACTGTTAATGTCTAGTGTTGGTAAATGTTTCTGTGTTCCAGGACCTGGTGAAGGGTGGTGATCCATGCAGTCTGCACACCCTTGGCCACGTGAGAAACCTGTCTATTTTCTTGGGTTTGTTGCTCCCGGTCGCACTCAGACATGTGTTAATTATAGAACCTAGAATCTTTGACACTGTTCATCAGTCTGATTCTCGTGTGGTTATCGAAAGTGAACTTAATATCTTGCTTGAAGGCTGAGACAATGATTAAGACGAATAATTGATCATGTATGAACTCTATGCAGCAGCTTCCACTTCAGTTAACCCTATCAATAATCCACGACTACCATCCTTAGATACCTTTAGTACCAGTCCGTCTGTTCCTGCTGCGTTATCTCGGTTCAGCTTAGCTACAGTTTACCCGACTTCGGTAGGTATGGAAGTCCTTTCTCGATGTTCCATTCAAGCTCCAACTGAATAAAGGCAAAATAGTCGAAGGTACATTGGATTGCTGCTGAAGTGCTCAACCCATCCTACCATCCATCTTTTTTACAAGCGAATCATAAACCTACCATTCTCCACAACAGTCTCATCAACCACTGAACTTCCCCATCTTCCCCTCAGTTTGTTAGACAAGTCTAAATAACTGTCCACTGCTACCTATCACTTCCACAGTCAACTTAACCATGTGAAAAATATAACCGTGATATTCGGATCATTAAGCCTTTATCGTCCTGTGGCCTTTTCCATAAGCTTTTGGTTTCCAAGCATTGCGTTTTGAAAATTGTTTTAGCATTTCACTGTAGTACAGCAGTATGCACTGCAGAATATGTTCCGTTAGTTCATGATACCTTTGTGTCAGAGATCACAATTTGTGAACTAGGCTTGATTTCCAAAGAAAACTCAGATGTTATCGCAGTTGGGCAATTGAGAAGCTAATCAGCTGTAATAAATGTCAACTTGAACTGTACGATTTGTAAATCATTTGAAAATTGATCATCCTGTGTGACGTGTACTAGTCCATCGAAGTGAGGTAGCTAGATTCATTGGTCTGAAGAACTACGCTATGTAAACTGAATGTGTCTGCATATAACGCTGATGAGCCTAGCCATAAACGGAAAAGACGGTTGTCCGTTGTTGGGACCCCTGTGATCTGGTTAGCGAAATCTACAAATCAGCATGAGTAATATCAAACTACTCACTGCCTTCAGTAGTATGTTACACATAAATGACGGTTAGTAAGTTGTGCAGGATGTTAAAGTTGTCAGACAGTATCAAATATTTGGCGCCATATGTTATTTTCTACATGGGTCAGAGTTTAAATTAATTTTCCTTCATGATATCTCTGTTTGATCATATTGGAAAACAGTAGAAAACAGAAGTGAGAAGTTGATTCAATGTTTGGTAACAGACTTATTTTCGCCTATAGGTTAAAAGGAGTTAAGTTTTTTCTGTATCTATATATCGTGTAACGCAATGATAACTTTCATTATTGTTCATTCGATTTCAGTTATTCATCCACCAACATTTATCAGGACACCGCAATCTGAAATTTATATTAATCCTGAAGAACCAGTTTTGCTTCCCTGTTATGCAAAAGCAAATCCAGAACCCAGGTAAGTTAGCAATTACTTTACAACTTATTTATTAATTGAAATACTTCAGCTAATAACAATAGCATATGCTTATACTGGTTAGATGGTTAAGTTGTTTTAGCTAAGATGTAGTCAGTAATGCTTATAGACACCGTATTTGGGAACAGTGAGGTTATAAAATTATCTTGAATTCTATCATGCATCGGAAGCTACGTAAAGTTATGAGCAAGCTCATTTTTGACGTGTAAAACAGTTCTACGCAATGTTTTGATTCCCTTAGGGGTTTGTAAGCTGATAACTTCCTCAACGCCAATAGAATGTAAGAAATTCTAAATTATTCAGAGTGAGTTATTTTCTGGGCTAATGTTTAAGTTGACAGGCGTGAACTGACAGAAGTCGAAGTGGTAACATGCTGGCCACGGAAGTAGAAGGTTCTGGGTCCGATCAGTGGCTAGGTCGACATGGTTGTGCACAGCTGAGGGGTCCCATATTAGGATAAAACAGCTATTCAGTGCTACCAGATTTCCAATGTTCCTTCAGCTGATGTCAGTTGATGATGATTACCGAATTAAAATTACTAAATCCCCCACAAAACCCCAAATCCAATCGTTAACCATTAGGACTATTTCTGTCCTTCCTAACCACTGACCGATATTCTATTTTCTTTCAATGAATTAAATTATGCTTAATATTCAGGAGAGAGATACGTTTTGATGTTCTAGTTTGTAAGCAACTGATAAGACACCATAGAAATGAAATAGATAGGATTCATCCTGCTTCCAGTGTTACATATTTAAAATTCGTTAAGGGGAATTTTTGTATGAAGCTTCTTAAAAAATGTGTATCTCATGCCTTGTTCACTAATTGTGAATAAAGGTCATCAGGGGTAGAATTCAATGAATTGTTGGTGAACCTACTTGTGTTAATCTATTTCTGGCGAAGGCGAAAAAATAACATCACCTTCAGAGTTTTAATATCCATAAACAGATTTCCCACTGTTTCAGCTTTACAAAGAAATTTTCGCAAAACTAGAATAACAAATTTAGCGGAATACAATAAATTCATTGCATTTAGTCGCCTCCTTCTTTTTAACTATTTATTATTATTATTTTTCCCTTGGGTTCCTAGTGGGACATGGGGATTCAGTAGCACGCCTCCACTGAACTCTCTTCTCTGCAGTCTTTTCAGCCTGGCACCTCGACTTCCCATAAGCTTTCATTTCTTCCTAACATGATCTCCTCCGTATCATCCTCGCCTCGGAAGCTCAACTCGTCGTTTCCCCTTCGCATTCCACTCGACGGCCTGACGCGTGATGTTCCCAGTCGATCTTCTCAGTGTATGCCTAATCCATTTCCACTTTCTTCTTCTGCATATTTATTGGGTGATAGGTTCTTAGTTGGTTCGTCCCCGGAGTTGCTTGTTACTTGTTCTTTCTGGCCGTCTGATCTTCAGTATTGAGTAGGTATAGATGGAAGCTGTTGATGAATATCTGTAGTTTGTTAGAAGTGCTTTTTGTGACGAACCATTACATAGAAGCACTGACTTGACATTGTTGTTGAAAATCCGGATCTTGTTTATTAAGCTGATTACAGTAGATCTCCTCAATAGTTTCAGATTAATGAAAGCCTGTCTTGCTTTTCAACTCTGTACAGGCTATAAAACCATAAGATATACATAGAGAGAAGTAGCATAAACATAATTCACTTACCAGGAAAATGATAGTCCATTGATGATATCATGTAAGAATTGATACAGATTAGGGAAGTTTAAATGAAATTATTTATCATTACTAAAACTGAAGTTATCTTATGCTTGCATAATCCGATTGTCATCTTGCTACATGTGACCAATTAAAAAATGAAATCGAAAGAACTACGTCAGTGTATGTGATGACTTAATCATGTAAACATAGGTTAAATATTCTTTGTATGAATTAAGATCAGGTAGTAAACTTACGGAGATGAAATAGGAATTACTTATGAAATTGATTGTAAAAAAGGAATGAAAAAATAAATCAGTGGAAATTGGAGGCTAACAACCGCCTCTTTTTGAATGTATTAGTTCGGTTAAAATCGCTTCTGCGATTCTTAGTAGCTTAGTATTATTTTGTTTGTTAACTATTTTAAATAATTTCAAGATATGAACATTATATTCTGTGTCTATCAAATATTTAGTAATGGAATTTTTTAAGACACTTTGACTTATCTAAGATTAACTTCTTTGGAATGTGTTTATGAAATGAATTCATGTATAAAATATCAAAGCATGTACATCGGGACAACATAGAGGAAGGCTGAGACTAGATTTTTAAAAGGAACTAATTGTATGTGAAATTTATTAAGAAACTTGTATATCATTCCCACCACAAGTCATGTTTAACATACTAAATTGTTTTCGACAAAAGTATTATTGCTTTTTAACTAACAATCTCATTATTTATATGTCTACTGAAATCTGTTCAACTGACTTATTATTAATAGTAGTTTATGTAAATAATTGTGTTAAAACATGATGTATGCATAGATAAACATGAACCATTTTTTACTTAAAGATTGATGTTTTAATTTGTATTGATTAGTAGTTGCCTGTATGTTTATATATGTTTCGAGTAGACAAATTAATTTTCTTTCAAGTTAAGTATCTGTCTTACGGTACATTCAAAGCAATAAATAGGCTAATACGTAAATGTATATTTAAATGGACATTTCTTTATGCATTTATCAGTCATGTGTTCAGTTAATTTGATAGTTTTAACCTATCTAGTTGTTCTTACCCACCTTCAATGCTATTGAAGTAGTAACTTCAAGAGTTTGTTAACTTGTCTTTGATAAGTAGATAACCACAAGTACACGAAAGAAATGGTATTATCTTTTATGGTATAATTTCTTAGTTTATATTAGACTAATTATTAAGGAAAAGTATAGCATTGTGTGTCTAGACGCATGTTAAAGTTTAACAGATGAATTTGAAAGAAATATACATGATTTATTGAGAAATTTCCATCTATGAAACAATAAAAGCAATAGTTGTTGACCTAATGAAAAGGGCATGTTAATCACATTTTGTACATTGATTAGTCAAAGGACAGCAACCAATATCATGTTGTCCACTCCTAAATGCACACCGAATTCTGTCGATCATTTTCGCAATGTGGCCATCAAGCTAGGAGGTTGAGCATCACTGTACGGATTGATAGATGTTAGTTGGTTGGAGGCAGTCGGAAGGAAGCCCTGGATCTAGGTTTCGCGGTAGTTGGTAACCGTTAGAAAGGCGTGTCTACAATCTTGATGGAACTCTGGTGACTAATCATTGAGTGTAACTCTGTCCTACAGGAGGTCATTCGTAATCCAGATAGCTCAGTAGTAACGTTGCTGACTACAACATCGGCTGACGTGGATTTCAATCTCAGATGGGACACCAGTTCCATCAAGCTTGCAAATTTACCTCACTGATGGGTGCCTGAATCAAGAGCTTTCTGCTAGTCGCCTTCAACCAACTAGCAACTATCAATGTGCACCATGATGCTGAGCCTCTTACCTTGATGGCCAGGCAGAAAAAAATGATCGACAGAATTCGGTTTGACACCATATTTTCATTTGACCTTCAATCATCACCCAATATCAATACAAGTTTACCAAACCATGGCTATCTCAGAGAGTCAAGCTGATAATAACTTATCCTTCCAATCGTATCTGTAATAGGCGCACTTCTACCTAACCCAACTACACCTTTCTGGTACTGAAGTTACCCATGTGTGGATGAAATCGCAAGGCTACGCATCATCATAGAATAGAGCATAGAATGGCAGTCAACTCAACACTACCTCAACTTCATCGATTTTGAAAAGGTCTTCGACAGTGTCGACTGAGGACTAATTTGGCAGTTGCTGCTTCAACACTATGGAGTGCCACAAATCTTTATCAACCTCATTCAGCAGCTACATGATGCCAAGTGATCCACAATGAAAAGCTCAGTGATGCCTTTTAGGTGAAGACATGAAGGAGTAAACAAGTGTCTACTATCACCAATCATCTTTCTAATTGTGGTCGACTAAACTAGACTGAATAATGCAAGAAACTGTGAGAAGATGGGCATACGCTGTTTGACCGATGAAAAGACCCAGAAGAAGAAGATTTAGATGATTCATATCCAATGTCTAATATCGCACAAACACGAAAGTCTGCTGGCGAAAACTAACAAGTTGGAAGAAGAGGCAAAGCAGGGCAGGGAAGGAAGATGGGACTTCCTTCAGGTGAACGTAGAGAAGACAGAGGTGATGAAGATACCCAAACACCACCACCGCCGCAACCACCAACAACAACGAAAACGAGCACCGGTCACCATCAGAGGGAGGAATCTAAACGAAGTTGCCTCTTTCACCGACCTACCTACCCACCTGTCTACCCACCAACCTACCTACCCATCGAGGCACCATCCTTTCAACCACAGGGGGCACATGCACAGATGAGGATGTCAAAGGCAGTCAGGATGGGAGAGACAGCAAGACAGCTTCAATAATCTGAAACTATTGTGGACATCTACTGCACTGCACTGCAATGCACTCGACTCCACTCGGCATAAACAACAAGATCCCGGTTTTCAAGACTAATGTTAGTCAAGTTAGTGCTTCTATGTGATGGTTTAGAGGTTTGGCGCGTGACGAAAAGCATTTCCAACAAACTATAGACATTCATCAACACCTACTGCCTACGCTCACTCGATACTGACACTGAAGGTCAGATAAACGGCCAGAAAGAATGAGCAACTACAACCTCTGGCTGGCTGACTGGCAACGAACCAACCAAGAACCCATCATTTAACAAATATGCAGAAGAAAGTGGAGTTGGATTGGATTGGATATACACTGGGAAGACCACGTGTTAGGCCATGCCAGGCCGCTGAGTGGAACTCAGAGGGGAAATGACGAGTTGGGCATCCGAGGCGAGGGTGATCTGGAGGAGATGGTGTGAGAAATAAATGAAAGCATATGGGCGGTCGTGGAGGCAGGTTGCAAAGACTGG